GTAATGCTGAGTCGACAGGTCCATGTAACACATATAGAATATCAGCCAGATGCCAGATGTTTGTTTTGGCCTAACGCACATGTGTATGTTTCTTCCAGATAATGCAAACACCATATGTACACATGCACATGTTGATTTAATGTGAGAGTAAAGCGCATATCAGAGTCAGGCACACATGTAAACCTAAAGCCACTAAGAGACAAAACAGATTATGAGCATGTTAGCGTGAAGACTGTAGAAACATGGAACATACAGTCAAAGCACTTGGATATTGTGAATCCAGCTGTTTCGCCTGCATGCCATGTCTCTTTAACTCAGTTTAGCTGCTTGATTTGTCTCCGTTTTGCGGTTTGCACAACATATATATCGTGTAATGGTGTTGGTTCTGGTTGGAGCTGTATAGCACCAGCCTTATCTTCAGGCTGCACTGCTTGTTGAAGCGCGGCACATGGCTCACGTCCTGTCACCACGGCACGGCCTGCAGCTCTGCACTTTGGTTTCAATTTGACTTTGATTTTCTGAGATACAGGATACAATGCAGTTAGAGCAAGATCAAAGAAGCAGCAGGAATCTTATACCTATCGTGACCATCAACAGTGCAGCCCACAGCTTGCTAATGTATGTTAATGCTATTATAAATTAATGAAGAGCTAGTTCATCCATCAGCTACTTATATAATGAGGACTTCTCTGTGTGTCTGAATGGGACTCTATTAAACAATACTTTCTCCAGTGCAAGCCGTTGTGACATTGTAATAAGAGTAATCAGTAATGTAAGACAAAAGGAGCACTATGAGCAGCTCCTCTGTGCCTTTACGAAGCTTCAAGGTCAATTACACGTCAGAATCGGGATAAACAGACAGGCACACACCACCTATCCACAGGAGACGAGGCATGTGTGCCGTTTGTCAAGGCAAATATGCAGAGCTTTCATTAGGGATTTCACACTGTTTATCCAGCTCCTTTTGCACGAGTACAAAAATGCCAATGAGAAACAAGTCTCCATTCACTTTAAAAATATGAATCAGATCAACATGTTTGTTATTTAAAAGAGCTGCCCTTCAATATATAGAGGAACATGTGTATGCAGGCAGTAACATGTGAGTTGGACAGGTGTTCAGTAATTACACTACACAGCTTTCCTGGGTCCTCTGGATGAACAAAATATATACATATATTATGCATTTAAAAAATAAACATCTTCTGCAGCTCAACAGATGGAGGTTCTGACCACCCAGCGGGCAAAAAACAAGAACATGCACTCTATAAACAAATGCATGAACTACTAGTACAAGACAAACATGTTCGAAGGATTTTATGTGAACTTGAACAGATTAAAATACAGAAACAGATCTAATGTGTAAATGTCAGGCGATATTAAGTGGAGCTGGAGGAGTGGGAGGGGAACTTGTAAAGGGCGGGGCTTGGCGCGCAGACAAAGGAGCCACAAGGAGATGTGAAGATGTGAGAGCGAAGCCCAGGCATGAGGCCATAAGCCTGGGGTGGTCCCAGAGGGGTCACTGAGGCTAAACTACCACCACCAACCAATGTACAGTATATGGATGCACAGGCAAAAACCTGTGCGGCTGAAGAGATTCTGATTTTATGTTTTCAAAATCTGATGGATGTTCTATGAAATGCAGAATTTTATAAGCCCTGGATTAGGCAGAGCTCCATCAAGCACTTTATTAATCAAAAAACTAAAAGAATTCATTCATAATCAAAATTATGTGGCTGTAAAATGAGGCCAACTGCAACTTTTGGCCCCAAAACTAAGGCCATTTATTGCAATTTACCCAATAAGAGTTGAGAACAACACAGTGCTCTTAATGATCAACTTAAAAAGGTCATGTACTTTCGACAGCTTCCCTCTTCTCCTTTATGCTCCATATATTTTTATAATCAGTTGCTCGATTTCCTGAAGGAGTTGTTTTAGCCCTAGCTTTATGTTTCTTGTTTTTTTCCAACAACTGGTGATGTCAGGTGCGACAGGGAATCACAATGTGGCACCCCATTAAGAGGATTTACCTATAGTACTGAGCTACACTATTATCACTATAAAATATAATAAATGGGAGCCCAAATATTGTACAGCAGCATGTTCACTGTGCATACAAGACGGATGTAGGCTTCTGTGTCTTTAAATTGATGCGAGTTTGATGCACTGAACGTTAGAAACACGCTGTTCTACTCTGATCTGTTTACGTCAGTAGCTGTAGTATCAATGAGCCTTACAAAATCAAACCATAAACATGATTCGATGCAAATGACTGCACACTAATGCATGTCTTTTACAAATGAAACCAGCTTTCTTGACTCTCATTTTAAACTATAAATGGCTGTCATTTTCATTAAGAGCCGTGAGAGGGGTAAATTCACACGGAAGAGAAGCTTGTGTTTATGGGCAGACATTTTTACTGGCATTCTCCATCTTCCTCCTGTTCTATCCCTTGCAGCCCCCTGGGTCCCTCTATTTCATTAAAGTCTCATTCAGACGCTCACCATTATAACACCGCACAATTTGCCGTGACAACATGAAGACTAAACAGGGAGGCAGTCATCAGTCATCAGTCATCAGCCTCCATTCTGATGCAGAGGAAACGTCTGGACCACGGAGCGCACAATGGACTGCACACTTGTTTCATTTTCCAATCTCACTTCATCTCGTGTTTGCAAATCTTTCATTTTTAACTTCCAAAGGGGTCTCTGGGGTCAATTGCTGTCTTCCTTTTGTAGACAGGAGAAAATAGATTATTTATTAACAATGCCACAACTCTTTCCAATTAATTGCAGACAAACAAGACAAAAGCAAGTCATTTCAATTGATCCTAAAAAGCTATTTTGTAACAGGGGGCCTTTGTGGAGCGTTGCCTGGTGACAGCAGTCTGGTGAGGAGGGGGGCGGGGGGAGAGTCTAAGCTAGGTCCACTGTAGCCGTGTCATTCACCCGCATGATGAAAAGCTTCCTGCACCTAAGCTAATAAGAAGATTGGGGAAAAGTGAGCTGGGAAAACACCAAAGAGATAATATTTAGAAGAGAACAACAGGTCAACAGGGAGCCGGACAGAACATTAGCACCCAGTGGTGGGCTGAAATAAATGTGTGTCAAGCTAAAACAATACGTGAATTTGTTGAAAAAAGACATAAGAAATTTAAATAGAAAGTGGGTAAATCCAAAGACTAACAAAAGAAAAGCTTTTCCATCACAAATCGCTAAGCAAAGTCAAAGTGAGGGATGAGTGGGCGGCAAACATCATCACAAACATTAAGAAGCATCACTTACACCCTTTGAGTTTCAATCTATTTCTAAGAGAGAACTTGATGTAGCATGTGCTATGATCATCTATGCATTTTGGACCCAGCAGGGCATCCTTGAAGATAAAAAAGGCATAAATTGGTCAAAATACATGAACTTTTATATATAACAGGGGTTTTCAAATATTAAAGATCATAAGGTAATATTGCTGCTATTTATACAGTGAAAATCAGCTAAAATAATAACTCATCACGGAGGCAAAATATAATTTTTGATCATATTATGAGGAACATTGAAAACATGATAAACAGTTCTCAAATCAAGCAAAATCAAGACTAGCTTCAGACTGAACTCAAGTGTCATGTGATCAAAAGATGATTTTCTTAACATTGTACTTGTTGTACTGATCTCCTCTAAGTAATATTTATATCGTACTGTGTGCTCTTATTTCTGTTCCTGCCTAGTTTTGTTTTGTGGCCATAATCCTGCATATTTACATTTGTTCACACAAATACGTAAGTACAAGCATTGGAGCTTATTGGCAGTGGACAACCCCAGTGTTGTCATTATCAAGCTATTGGGCCTAATACAGGGACAGCCGCATGATCATTTCTTATGTCTCCTTTTGAAAGATCTCTGGAGGATTGCTCCATTGAGAGCTTCTCTGCACAGACTCCATTAAGAAAAACACTGCATCATTTTAACAAGGGCTCCTCGCTCAAAAACTACTGACACACTTTCAAATGTCGAAGGCCAGGGCAGGGTCAAACCTGATCTGTCAGACCTCTGCTAATCAATACAAGGAGCTCAGTGGATCTATAAGAGCAGCCAAACATAATCATTACAACATGGACGAGTTGAACTTGGCAACTGTGTTAAATAAGAAGTCTTATATTCTGTTCTGAAGCATTTCTACTAATAAATCTCTTTTCCACACGCAAACTTCACCATGGTCATACTTATACAGCATATGAAGAAACAATCTATGGACCGTAATGGAGTTTTATATTGATTCACATGAACACAAATGCGTTAAAGTGGTGGATACAGATGACCTTTGAGAGAAAGTCCCTTCAGGGGGCCCTAAGGTTGCATGTGTTTGACAGCAGCAGCTACTGAACACAAGTGACTTTTCCCCTCGGCCAGTGAGGCGTTGTGCTAACCTCTCTTCCCACTGAGTGGAAAAGCGGTATTGGCTACAACAGCACAGCAGTGTGCTGACTATACAGCTCAAGAATCAACAGGCATCTCTGATCAACCATCGGCCATCACTTTGAAAGAAAATATATAAAACGGGCGCCACAAAGTCTTAAGTTACCACCGCACGCAACAGGCTGATATCAATAAGGAAAGACTGCAGAGGAGTCCATGATGACTTTAATTTAGAGAGCGCTGAGACAGCTTCTCCATGTGTGTGCCATGACAAAGAGACACTAAAGCTCTGAGCGGGCCGAGGAAGAGCAACAGACAGATTGTCTGCAGCAACATGAGAAACCCAGCTTAATGAGCACGGCCAACAATGCACAGAAGTTAATGCTGAAATAGAATGACTTCAAACAGGAGAGTTGTGCTCAAGCCACAAAATGTTTCTCCTGATGCCTTTGAAAAAGGCTCTCGGCTTACAGAAAGTTTAAAGCACTCATACATAACATATCATCTATTTTCTAACCAATCATGTTTAATCATATTGGTCAGAATGAACACAAATATTATATTGTTTGCTGCCAGTGCTTGAGCGTGACTTACTTGCTGCCTGTACTCGGGCCTTGCGGCTCACTACGAGCCCAAAGGAGTTCTGGGCCATGCATTCGTAGTCGCCCTCGTCAGAGGTCCCGTCAGATTTGGTCTTGAGGAAGTGGGTGATGAGCAGAGACCCATTGAAGAAGGTGGTGTGGTGCTGGTCCTGAGAAAGCAGCAGGCCGTTGTGCCTCCACTGAGTTGTGATGGGGGGGATTCCCACCACCTGACAGTGCAGCATCAGGGGCTGTTCTTGCACTGCAATGATGTCATTGGGCTCCAGTGTGAAAGACAGTTCCGCTTCACATGTCACGCCTGCAACATACAAACAAAACAAGGTTTAATAAATAAGTGTAGTTAGATTTGATTATTAGTGACTTAAAAAGGGGTGGAACTCCTGATAAAAGCATGGCAAATGTACATGTTATATCACAGCTAGCCCATGTGGCTAATGAATTAAAAGGCCAGACTGAGCTACCTCCAGGCTACAGTCAGTGGGGGATACATGGTCGACAGATCTCGGCACCATGAGTATACAGAACGTGTCTATATAAACTGATCATGCACGGCCTTGTGTTGCAGTGGACCCATCTGGGACTACCTATTTGAACAAAGCAGCACTCAAACGCTATTAAGTTGTTGATGTTTTCGATTTCTTGCTTTCTTATTTTTAGTTTCAGGAGAAGTCAGGACAACAAATAGTGAATGTAAACACACTGACCTAGCTTGGGACTATAAAAGGGGGGCTGAGTGGGCTGTGTGCATATCACGTTACAACTGCTGATGGACTAAGCACTACCAGCCACTGCCCCAGGCCCAGGAATCTGGTGGGGCAGGGGGGACAAGGGGAGCAGGTCAAAAAAGAGGACCTCCCGCTCCATCCCTCAAATTCCTGCCCCAGAAAGACTTCCCCACTGTAGGTGAAGACAAGGAGTGCATTGACAAACTCTCCTGGATCACAAAGATCCCTAATGCAAAGAAACATTTCCACTCCTCATTTTAATCCTCAAGTAACACTTTGTTAGGCTTGCCATTTATCTTTTTGTCTTCTCTCTGCATACACCAAAGTAAATTAACAATCAAGGGAAAAATAAGAACCAAAATGCATTTTAGCCTTGTTTTTCTGGTTATGCTCAAACAATTCATGATTACAGTAAAGGCTATCTTCTTTAGGTCGACTTAACACTTGCAATTTATCAAACCGTTGCAAATGATATCGGGAGATGGTGCTAAAAGTTATGAATGGTTATTTATCAATGAACTCAAAATAGCGCACTTTATGGTTATTAGAAAAACTTTAATGCCACTCCGAATACACCTTTGTGCACAGACTGGACAGGAATGTACACAGCAGAATATATTCTGCTGTGTACATTACTGAAACTGATTGTGTTTGAAAGGCCTGTTACTTTCACTTGCACGAGAAACAACTATTATTAAAAGCTATTTAAAGTCAACATCAATCTCTCAAACAAACAGCAGCATTTGGGGGAGATGTATTAAAAAAAAATTGCGAAAAGACACATATCTAAATATAAAAATCTTGTGAAACCAACTAGAGTAACTTCACTCTAGTATAAATAAACTCTTACTCTAGCTATGTAAGAATGGGCTTCTCTACTCATCTAGGGTATATACAAATATTTTCCATGTCCTCAGTTTGGATCAACATGTTGTTTAGGCGCTCCGTTGGCACCGCCTCCGTTGTTTCTGGGTCGCTCCTTTGTTAGCATCAATAATCAATGCTTTGCATTGAATGAAGTAGTGTAATTCTTCCCATTTAAAGTAAATTGAGATAAGCTTGAGGACAAGAGACTGACAGATAAATCTATATATTCAACAGAGAAACCACAAATAATAACCACAAATATAAATGATGAGCTATAAACTAAACTTCCACAAATAAAATTAATCTAAAATAACCTTGAATCTGCAACTCAAACCAGCTATGTATATTTAAAAAATCGGACCGGCATCATCCTCAAAAACCCCATATCGGTTCATCTCTATTGAGAACCATTGTATGTCTGAGAACAGAACTTCGGAAGTCAGGTGTTAATCCATATTTGGTAACCCAATACAGGCGGAAGGTGGGTTCGATCCTGTGTCGACCCGGGCCTTTCTGCGTGTGTCCTGTGTCCCGGGGGGTTTCCTCTGGCCACTCCTGTTCCCCAAAACTCTAAACATGCATCATAGGTAAAAACAGCGATGACAGTAATGGTCCTAACAGGTTGCCCTAGTCCAGGCATGGGCAATCGTTTCCTCCTGAGGGCCACATTGGAAGGTCAGCCTGCCGTCAAAGGCCGGACATCATTTCCAATGTTTTTTTCAGGCTTCATTTAGAAATGTTATATCATATTCAATGCTGGGAATGTTATAGTCATTATACAATATCTATATAAATTGAGGAGTGCTCAGGGGCCTGATAGAAACATACACAGGGCCCAGGTCCGGGGGTTGCTCACCACTGCCTTGGTCCCTTGTGACATGGAAGGAGTGGTCCCAGGAAAGCAGCAGAGGGGGGTGCCAACAGAACCACTACACCTTGTGATATGTTCATCCGTATGTGGAAGCCAAGAAAAATGCTTTCATCCACAAAAGCCAAAACGTTTTTTAATTGTTTTTTGTATAGCCCAAAATCATACTAGCAATCATCTTGAATAACGTCAGGGAAATTGTCAATTCGCCAACAGAAGATTAACAAATCAAACAATCAAAGATACTTTTCAGTTCAATTCATTTGTGTAAAGCCCTAAATTATGTAGTGATAACTAGTGATCTTGGAGTTGTCAATTCAAATTACGCATCTCCTCCAGGCACTATGATTTATTTAAGTACAAGAAGTGCAATTTAATGAGCAACAAATCAAAGAGCTATATAAGGAAAAAATTCACAAGTAGATGGTATGACATGTATAAAACCCCATTATACGTCACGTTCTATACATCTTCCTCCCTTTGCATTTTACCTTAACAATGTGTGGAGTGAAGGTTAGAGGTTATATTTGAGCAATTCATCTTCTGGTTGAATAGATTGAGGAAACATCCTTTCTACAACACACATTGTCAACATCTTTTCAATGAAAGAGCGACAGAAATATACTTTTTTAATGGAATTGACGAATGGAAGTGCACAGCTGGGACTAGACACTAAACGTGCTAGAAATTAAGGTTCCAGAGAAAAATTTACCAATTTAATGAAAAGTCATTACTTCAGTATCATATTTTGTTACAAGAAACAAAATATTGTTAATACTTAACACATTTTTACCTTTATCTTTGTAGAGTCAAATGACAATAAAATACAATGCTTGTCTATAAATCCCTTCACAATCTGTATGTGTGGTTTGTAAACCTGTACACAGTCCCAGATAATCGGCACCAAACCTTGTCGCTGTTAAGTAAAATTGAAAATAGGAAAATCAACCATTTATCATTATGCTCCCTGTAAATGGAACACTAATGAACCGTGTGTTCCATTGTTGAGGGCATTTAGAAGAATCTTTTAGTGTTTCTACAGTATGTCTAGTGCACTTTATTGAAGGTCTGATATAGTTTTTTTTTTCTTTTAAAACTCGTCTAATTTGAATATCATGCGTTATCCATAGTATGTATATTAGGAGTATCCTAATGCAGAAAAAGCTGATTCAAACAAGCTAGCTGGAGCCAATTTATTATATAGGCATTTGTTCCAAAGGCGTTAGCTTCGCCCCATAACAGGGGCAAACATGTTGCTAAGATGGGTCTTTCTGAGTGGAGTTTGCATGTTCTCCCCGTGCCTGCGTAGGTTTCTTCCGGGTGCTCCGGTTTCCCTTTACCACTAAAAACATGTATAAAAAGGTAAATCCTTCAGTTCTGGAAGTCCTGACCAAGCTGAGCATCAACATCTGGAGATGGGTTTCCCTGGCGCTGTTACTACGGCGACCACTGCTCCTGACGTAAGCCTTAGCGGCATAAGGATGGGTCAAATGCAGTGGATGAATACAGGGATGAATAAAAGTGCACCATTATGATGGTTGCTAAGGTATGCTCTTGTGGGATACAAAAGCATCTGATTAGTCAATCCTTATATGACTCATATCTGGATTTGCAAGGACAATATCAAAACATATAAACCAGGAGCAAGTTGCACTAAAACTTCCCTAGGGCTTTATTAACCAAGCGGGTTAACATTGTCCATCTTTAAACAATATATGGTGTTATCATGTCAAATTCATTCATACTTAAAAATATTCCCAAAAATTATACTACGTATTTCCCCATCTTTGTTCTGATATATTGCCAACATGAATACAAGATTGTCATATCTGTGTAGCTGGTCTGAAAGTTGGCTCCTGTTCCGGCTCAAGTGTGACTGTATGTGTCTGGTGTGAAGGTGTCCTGCATTGATGTTCCAAAGCAGGTCTCATCCAGATCTGAAGCTTCTGGGCAACAGACACATACAGGGAGCAGGAGGAGATGCACTGACACAATGTATACATGTATTGCAGTATATTAAACAATATACTCCCAGATCAGGAAGTGTAATAAAGTCAACCCATAACCTACTCTATTAATGATTGAAGCATCTGAGATACAGGACACTGATCGTTACTAAAACTGACATACTGCAGAGAACTGTAAAACTGTACAATCTAATCTTTAATCGTTATTTCATATAGTGCCTTTCACTCAAAGTCACAAACCGCTTTACAATTGTTGTGGCCCTTTTCTTCTCACTCCACACAGCGGGGTCACCATACAGGAGGCGCATGCCATAACTATTGTTTTCAGTGAGAAGGGAAACCGGAGCACCCGGAGGAGCCAAGTAACTCAAAGCCTGTGCCTCAGGAAATGAATGAACTCAATTGCATTTGCATCTTCTATTCATACATTCTGTAATTACTATTGCACTATATATGATTATACAATTGACAACAGAACTGATGTGTATGAATTGAAAAAGAATTCGTATAACAGCATTTATAGGTAACGCTATAACACTATCTACAGTAGCATAATTGTCGTAATGTTATGGCTCTATTGACTTGAACAATGCCTCAAACTTTCTGATGACAACAGTGTTTCAGGCATATTCACGAAGTTTCTGATAAAAGAAATGTCACTTTCCTTCCAAGGACATTGAGTGTACGACAACCAGGTGAACGCTGGAAGACTTTTCATTTGAATACAATATACAGCATTCAGCATCCCTTTTGAACAGTTGCAGATTGAAGTCTGAATTTGATGTATTATTTTCCAATGAAATCCAACTTCTCAATATACAACGTGAGTAATGACTATTTAGGGGGCAAGAGTACGGCTCAAAGGTGCCTTCAGAGCATATGCATAGACAGATAGAGTTGCAAATTCCAGTTCACATCAAGAGCTCGTGGATCACTGTCACCAATATCAATGAGGCTTTGAGTGGAGATGCAATCCTCTTTTTATCAACCTGAGACGTCAACTTAAAAAGCAGTCTTTGTTTGATCGAGCACAGATAAAGGTTTTTGTTTGATGGATGATCCAAAGGTAACTACTTAAAAACATTAAAAGCTCACGATTTGGAGGAAATGGAAAATGTCAATCACATAAAGTTTCAAAACAAATAGTTATAAACTCTGCTATCACAGTTGATCATGCGTGCAAAAATAATATCTGGCATGTCTCATGTCTAAACAAAATAAAGCATTTTGGGTGGTTTTATTTTTGGTTGGTGTGTTGGTTTTTCATGCATACAGCCCTCAAAAAGGCTATCAAAGCCCCGGGGATGTCACCTTGTCATTTGGTTAAAGCTTGATTACCTTACTTTTTTTTCTTTTTTTAGTTTTTCATGTTGCTTGTCCCAGCCGACAGAGTCTTGAACAACTCAGACGGCAACATACCATCTTATTAGAAAACTTTTGATAAAATACACACAGAACCCTAAATGAGTTAGTATTTGATGCTTTGGGATGAGAGCTGATTGGCTGAGTGAAGGCGGTCCCCTCTTTCACTTCTCTGTCTGAAAAAGTTGATAGATATGACAGAGGCAACAAAATAGAAGCCTGTAAAAAATAGAGTCAAAATGTTTTAGAGCCGAAAACTAGTTACATGGATTTCATTACATATTTTATGTGCTTTAAAGGTAAGGCCCCTTCGCTAAAGTAACATTTAGTTGGTTTTAGAAGAATAGTGAATACAATACAGGATGAGTGTATAAACACATCCTAATGTCCAATCGTGTTTGTGAATTTTAACTAGGACTGTAGTTAATGATTACTTTGATTAGTGAATTTGAGATTCTTTCAACATTTGGGGAAAATTTTAAGTGATGCCCCTGGAGAACAGCTTTATAGATTTGTTTGATTGATGATACTTTGTTAGCACATTCATTTCCTTCCTTCTGCTAGGTAATAGTAAATACTGCAACATATGCCAAAATGTATTCTAATTATATTGATGTATATATATTTTGCATATATAATGATTTTTTATATATAGCCCCTATTATGTACAACTACTTATCTTTATATATTTTGAGTGCTCCTTGTGCACTGTCCTGTATGTGCACGGAAACACCAACATTTCCCCATCGTGGGATGTACAACTTTCTGATCTCAATGATGAAATACTTATTTCAATAACTAATTCATTAACCGAATAGTAACTTGAAAATTATGCTTTGAAAACAAAAGGAAATAATCATCTTACTCAAACTTAAAATGTGGTCAAACCAAATAGCTAGAGTGGAACCTTTGAAGTACATAGCAGTCTTTTTAATGAGGTCTATTTGCAGATAGAGACAATAAAGCGTGGTCACTGAGAGCGCAACCTCCTCAGATTAGAAGACTTCTCTATTCGATTCCTTAATGATATACAGCACTTTGACGAAAATTGAACTCTGGAGTGTGATCTTAGTGCTGATAGTCCTGCTCCTATTCTCACGATATCCAACTTGAATATCATAAAGCATTTTTATCTCCTCTGAATCTAATCTCTGAGGAAGATGAGCACTTAAAAGAAAATCATTTTACAGAAAGGGCCTCCTCAGTTCTCACAAAGCACTGCGCCTCCGAACATGTTATGGGCCACTGTGTACTCCTTTATGAGGCCGGTGGGGGCTTTTGTCAGTCTCTGCGGGCTATACTCTTTTGCAAATACCCAATATTCTCCTCTGCCTTTCAATTCAAGGGGCCACAAACAGACAGAGAAGATATCCGGTGCTGTGTAAGAATAAAGGATGAAAAATAGTCCAGGACAAAAGGGCCAGTGTTGACATTTCATCTTCACAGATATACGCCCCAGCAGGCAATATGAAAGTACTTACATTAACAAGAAATGTCATCTCTAACAGCTGTACACTGGTGACAGAATTCCCATAGCCTAATAATGCACAGCGAAAACCAATGCATCAACCTCAAAATGCACTAAGGCACTAAATTAGGAATGCATCCCTGAATAGAACTGGGCTATTGTGAGATCATGTGAACAACGCACTTAGTAATTTCACTGATTATATTCCAATCTTGTTTTATGAATGAAGATTGGTTGTTTTTGATATATACTTGTCAAATCTCTATTGTGCGTATTTATACATAATAATTTTTTTCAGATTGCCTTGATGTCTATTGTTTACTTTTTTAATAACTTGTTTGCACCCTACACCAAAGCAAATTGCTATTTTGTGACTTCTTGTTACTTACAATGGAATTTAAAAAAAAATTAAGTCAACAAAACAGAACTCCAAAAATTTAAAATCCAATGCATTAATGGGATGAATACTCTGGGGGAAATAAAAGTTGTATTATCTAAATTGTGTCATTTTGCAACTCAAGTGTAGGGTTTTGCTTGTGCCAATAAAACACTGTAAAACATATCTAGGGTTCCCATAACAAAACCAACAAGGATTGATTTCGCAAACAAACCGGGCCATCTTGAAAATAATGGCATTTTTGGTCACCAGTTTGGCATCTTGAAATAGACAATGCACCAGCGTAAGGAAATCAAACTCTAGTATACGTATCTATTGCACTCGTAAATAAAAGTAGCACTGCAGACCCACGTGTAGTTGCGTTACGCCCACTTGCAAACCTTATCTGAGCGATATCAAAATTCAACACTTTCTGCAGCAATGTCCACAGTGCCCCCACACACTTCAAAGAAATCGCGCAGACTATAGGCAGTAAAGGCCAAGTTCAGGGCTGTAGTGGTCAGCGACACACACTTTTCTCCCCCTGCAGCTGGCACAAGGAGACCACCGCTCCGTCCAAGCCACTACACGCACGCATTTACAAGTTAAAACCCCGCACCGTGTCACTCACCTCTCAACGCGTGGAGGAGTATTCCCCAAAAGCATATCACAAGGCGGCGGTGCCTTGTGGATGCCATTTAGGCAAGCACCTCGCCACGCAGGAATATCCAGGCAAAGACAACGTGAGAGGTTGGAAACGTGCGATGGGTACACACAAGCAAGAATGAAAAAAACTGAAAGCGTATCCAAAGTGAATAATTACATTCCCAAGCTAACGCGCTACTGTTTGGAGGTTCACAGGGGTCGCGCAAGCTTTCGCCATTTTCGCCATCTATTAGGAATTTGTCAGCATCCCGCTCTGCTCTCCTTCTCTCTCTGGTGGTTCCCAAAGCCAGCCTCTACATCCGTCCTCTCCCCCCTCTCTCTCTCTCCCTCTCTCTTTCTCCCTCTCCCTCCTCTCACACACTCAATACGCGCTCGGAACAAAAGAGCCGACTGCTGACTACTTGTACCTTTACGCATGAGAGGCCAAGACATTTCAGCGTAATAATAAACTTCATGTGTATAGGCATACACTACATAGGTAATGTCTGTTATTTAAGAAAGCGTCCTTTAAATTGAAATGAAATCAAAAATAAACCCAGCGCCTCTCTTTATGTTTTGGATATGACATGATGTAATATCCCACAAACGACGCAATCTGGGCCGCGCGTAAAGTAATGGCGTGCGAAATGACGCGTGGTATTTGACAAGACCAAGTGTGTAGCCTAATGGCGGTGATTGCAAACTTAACAGTCCTTCTTTTAATGTTATTTAAAGATGGTCATAAAATGTGGAATAGGTTCTAATTTGAAGAATGGGGAGCTGTTGAAACAAATCGATGGAAATGGACCATGGCGAAAGAAACGATGTAAAGATAGTCGCACGCAAGCAGACAAATAGCGCCTGTTTACTTAAAGCTAATGGTTCAGAACAAGTGAACCTGGTATGATAAACAAGTCAAACCCCTAACTCTCATTTACAACAAAGCCGAGAGATTTTGGCAATAAACGAGCGCCTCCTAGGGGCCAAGACACCACGTGCGTATTAACTAATCGCCAATTAAGATCATAATTGAAGTAAAATGCAGTACAAATCAAAGTGTAATTAGCCACGGTTGTTGTCAACTCTCCAAGTAGACGCCTGCAGCTCTGGTTAGCTGATTAATTCAGAGTTGAAACAGGAGTCTTGGGATTTTAGACAGAATTTGATGGAAGTGAACATGTGAAACCAGAGAGAGAGAGAAAGAGAGGGGGAGGAGGAGGAGGAGGAGGAGGAGGAGGAGGAGGAGGAGGAGAAGGAAAATAAATTGTACACCTAGATACATGCATAAGTTGTAAAAAAAAAAAAAAAAAAAGAAGAAAAAAAAACCGTATATTATTTCTCTCAAATCAGTATCGGTCTTATCATGTACTTTTTCTGTACTAGGACACAACAACACTGTTCCAGATGGTTTTCCCAGTGGTCTCCTATCACAGACTACCCGTCAGTGTGGGAGTAACTCATTACAATAGTAACTGCAGTGATGTATTTATTTTTGATGGAACACAGTTATATGACTCATTACAAAACATAACATAACATTATTATGACCGTATTGTAAACTATAATATTATTGGAATATTGTTAGATGTACAAGGTTTAACTAAATTTTACCAATTCAAGTTTTACCAATACCAAAAACAAGCTCACAAAAAACAAAATAACGTTATAGTTAAATATAACTTGCATTTAACTTATAGAAAGAGTTTTCAACGCTGACTGCTGATTGCAGTCAACATTATCAATGTGAGGTGAGTTGTTTGTTTTTTTTAAAATGCCTCTATATTATTATCTGCAACAATTGCCCAACAATGCAATGCAACCTGGGCCTTGCACTATATCTAGAGCTTCAGCCTGAAATAATAATTCTCCAATCAAAATATTCGTCCAACATTAAAAAATGTGGGTTTTGTGAGGACATGAGATAAGATCCAAAATGTTTAGTGCAGGACTTCAAACACTGTACGAGATCTCCCTCTAGTGGACATACACATCAAGTTCAAGAAAACGTGGATTGTGGTTTTTAATTATTAACTCTGAAAGTCATCATGTTTAACAGAATAATTAGCCAAACGTGAACATGAACTTAACTATGTTTGTTCATTGCAAGTACAAATCCAAAATTAGAACCCCGTCAAATAAACTATGTTATTATGTTTACGTGTGTTATAATACATTCACTCTAAAAATCACTAAACACGTCTTTTTATTAATTACTTTGATGTTTTTGAAGTCCAGAATAAGTTAATAATAACGGTAATAATAATAATAATAATAATAAATAAGAGAAAAAGTTAAAGTCTATTACAGCTGCATATTTAGATTTCAGTGTGGGGGTGGAAATGCTCTTTCTTCAGGATAACAGTCAGATAAAACCATTAATATTGTATTATGAGATGTACAACTGTAATTGTAAGAAATTGATATGTGTAGTGCCTAAAACGGACACAAGAGGTCCTTGTTTAGTGCCGGCTGCGATAATAAAACCACGCGACATTTGATACAGCCGTTTACGTTGTCTGCAGTGGTATTTTCCACTCATTTAAATTGTTATTCTTCATGTGTACAGTTGACCTTCACCATTTCTGTCTTTTTAAATGTTGATGCATTTCATTAGGCCGACACAAAACGCTACAAACAGCAGCCACTCCCCTTTATGTGAGGTCTAGTGGCAGCCGCAGTAGCAGCAGCAGTGGGGCACACTGCTCCTGCGTGGATCGCTTTCATGTAAACAGATCAAGATCATATCCCACCATGAGTTATACATATCTGGACCCATGACCCGCAGGCCAGACCCACTGGACCCCGCACACCCATAGGAGCATCCCTCATCCAGCCCCTGTGCGCAAAGGGCAGAGCCAAGAGGTGCGCGCAGTCTGACCACCGCTATGAGGAGAATAACGGGAAAGGCGAAGGATGAAACTTTGATCGAGCTCCAAGGCACCACGGACTCACAGGCCACAGGTAAAGACAGGGCGGGTTTGACCATTTCTGAATTATAAGAGAGGGACACTTCAGTGGACACGTTTGTAATGTCTCGCGTAGCTAGAACAAAGCTCCCTTAGACGAATAAATGACCTCCTGGTTTGTTATCGCTCAGTCCTTGGGGAGTGTCCAAAATAATGTATTTAATTATTGTTATAGGATTGGTAATTTGTGATAGCACAGTTGTCCACTGTCCAAGCTGATTATTATTTGCTTTGTTGTGGAGTTGTGTCATGCGTTATGGTGACGTAATTAAGGGGAGTTTGGGACAGTCTAGGCAGAAAATATGTAGGTTAATTTATGTTGTTTCAATTTGATACATTTTGAAAATGTTACCATTGGAGTTGCACTTTAGATTAAAAAGTATAATAAGATCATAAATAGTAAGATTAGATCATTTATTTGCCCAACATTGGTAAAATCAGCCATAGGAGCCATTGGTCCATAGGGAATAGGATGACCAATGTCCATAAATGCTAATACATTTCCTTAATTCAGATTCAGATTCGGTTTATTTGCCATTTGCAGTAAAAACACCACATAGGAATACATTAGCAAAAGTCTCCAGTGTGCACAGACAAATACAGACATAAAACAACATTAAAAGACAAAAATAAAACAAATAAAACAGTAAACAAATGTCACTGTAAAATCATTAAAGTGCTCTGTTCACACTGATAACAGCTTGTGGATAAAAACTGTTACAAAGCGTAACGTAACGAGATGTCCTGCATCTCAGAGAGCGATATCTTCTGCCAGAGGGAAGAAGCTGGAACAAGGCTTTCCCAGGATGGCCAGAAGAGTCATTGACAATCCTAAGAGCTTTGTTTAAAAGTCTGGATTTATAAAGAACCTCCAGAACAGGAAGCTCACAGCCCACGGTCCTCTTTGCAGAGCGGAGCACCTTGTTTAAAGATCTCTTTTCTTTATCTGTGATGTTTCCAAACCACACAGACACAGAACCAACAAGTAAACTCTAATTTAATTGTCCTGGATCATCACTGTCCTTGGACTCCCTGTAAGTTCAGAGAATAAGGGTGGCAGTCCAATCATTATTTCTTGCATAGCTAACTGAATGTACCGACATAACTGTTAATGGATAAGTCTTCATCAAATGTGGAGTCATTGAACTACTTCAGCATCCAAAGTGAAACTGAATTATTAGTCTATAATAAGCATGTCATGTGCCCTCTGTGAACACATCCTCTTTTGTACAGTGTGCAGAGCAGAATGCACAATCATGGAAAGACTAAGCCAGATTTAAATCAACCCGAACCCCACTCAACTAATCAACTCTTTTGATGAACTGACACAAGTCTGAGGTTTTCACAAAGTCAGCACAGCTGGCCCCATATGTATAATTATGCCAAACCAAATCAATAACAAAACTGACAAAACATTAAGCCCTCAATCCACCTATATTTGGTTCATATTTCATTCAGCGCAGTTAACTAAGCTAAGCATACTGCCCATTTCGCCCACAGCTCACAGAATATAACAAAATAGTCAAAAACAAAAGTATTGTGCTTGTTTTTATCTATCAGCTGTGGGTTTGTGCTACATTATAACATGAAATGCTTATATTCAAGTGTAGTCTATATGTACTTTCTTTTACAAACTAGCTTGTGCTGTTTTTCCACAGGTGAGATTATCAGTCACTGTTTGTAAAAATGTATTTTTCCCAGTTTCCTTGCCACATGAGTGCATAAAACTTTGTTTCTTTTACAAAATATAAAAGTTAGGTCTGTTTAATATGATTCATCACTTAAAAGCCTGGTCCTCTGCTTATTGATTGGTTTTATGGATTTCCTAAAGAGACTTCACGCTGAATGAAGACAAACCGGCAGCACTTCCATCCTCCCGTCCTTTGTTGTTCGGAGGTCCAGTTGTGGTCTTTGAGTTGTGCATTAAGCTTCCCTCAGGTCTGCTAACACAGGGGATTATACTAATGCTGTTAAAGTGAAGCGGACTGCTCTGTACTTGCAGAGGGGAGTGTGTAATCATTAGGGACACTTTCATGTTATGTAATTGAGTCAGGCAGTTGTGTTGTCGTATTGTGTCAGATGCTCCAAATGTGACACAGTCTTTAGAAAAGCATTGACTGTTTGATTCTCTGATCTGTGTTGGCGAATTCAACGGTTTTGTTAAGTCCTCCGAGATGACTGCTGTTATGATTTAGGGCTATACAGGAATACATTGAATCAAATTGAATTATGGAAAACATGTTATAGTAATGGTAAAAAAAAGTGTGGACAATTCAACACAATAATAGTATATAGTAGTGTGTAGTAGTTATGAATATTAATCATAATCACATTTACTTGATTTACACCTTGACTGAACTAAAACTTAAATAACTTTGATCCTTTTTTGTTTTAGTTATCCCTACACATTGTTGTTTAACATTCCTAAGTGCTGTAGTTTTATGTAATACAGCCATTCAAAATAAAATACAGGTTTATGTGGAAAGTTATTTGAAAAGAAGCAATTACTTTACATGACCTTTACTGTCTCAATCATTGCATAACTAAATATTCCTGACATCCTCCAGATTGAATTGTAAATGTTAAACCACAACATGCTGTCTTCATCTCAATAGAAAACATCTTTCACATACTTGAAGAAAAATCTTGGTGAGTCACTACTTGACACTTTGGGGTGATGGGTGAGTGAGGGGGATCCTCTATTTTTCCCTTTATTCGGTCCGACTAAGGTGATGTACAAAGATGTAACAAAGGCCATAAATGCACCCGACTTTTCAGAGCGAAAAACTAAACACTGTTGTTGAATTTGTGTGCTTTGAAAGTTAGATACCCCAGCTTGAACAAATCGACGAAGAAAGTGCATGTAAAACAGGGGGTCAAACTCATTTTGGTCGAGGGCCAAGTTTAAAAACACAAGAGCTGGTTGGTAAAGTATAAAAGTATATACGTTGTTTACTTTTATCGTCTCTTTTTTTAACATAATTTTGTATTTTGACGAATTCACTTTTTAATTTATTTGACATTTTCTAGCCTAACTTATCTTCTAGTTAGTTTACATTTGGGAACGTATTCAATCATATGGATCATTTCCTGAGAAATTATGTATAACATGCCAAAGTATCCCATTACCATCAATGCTGCAAGTTACTGAAATAATGATAATTAAAAATCATTCCACTAAAAATGGTCTCACGGGCCGGATTTGGCTCATGGACCAGAGTTTGAGATGGCTGACAAAACCTCCATTACTTTTAATCCTGCAGGTGAACGGACAATGTAATGTAGTCGTCATTTGTCATTAGGTATAAACTGAAGTGGCCCTCAGGGTTCATCTGGCCCTTATCTACTCTGCCCTGTGGCTTCACTACAAAGAGGAGGAAACATTGACACTTGAGGAAAAGGTCTTTCCTCACCTCGTTACATTAGGGCCAAGTATTGTTCCCAGCTGCTCAAACAAAGATTTATGCACCGCCTGCACCAGCCTGATGCAGAGCGGATGGACAGATGTGTTCTTACTGCTCACATTTGTTGCTCTGGCAGACTGCTCCAGGTACTGCGGCTTGATATCGTTAAATGTAATTCAATAAGGCTCTGTCCATTTAAGGCGATATCTCTTCGGTGTCCGCAGATCGTGAGATCATCCTTCACTACGTTGAACCAGAGCCAATGGTTTCTATGGAGACGCAAATCACATGATGCCCATTAGTGCTTTGATAGAAGCGTAATACAGGGAGACCAGAGAGTTGCCCTCAATACAAAAAAGCGAAGTAAATTTTCAAAAACAGAGATTGGAGGTAAAGGCTCTCACATTGCAGGCCCTTAAATTATGTTTTATTGATGTGTTACGCGTGACCACTGGCTATAGCCTTGCACAGCGCTGCAGACTACAACACTACATGTGATCTACAACACAACACTCATCAGATTACAGCTATAGTTCACATTAGATTAGATTCGACTTTATTGTCAATACAATGAAAGAATAATGCAACAAAAGACAGTTAAGCATCGAACCAGAAGTGCAAGTATCTGATAATATTTACAACATAGATACATATATATGCTTATCTGTGAGACTGTACAAAGCTGCTATTACTAGTATAACTATATATATTCATTACATTATATTACATTAATGTGTCTAACGCTATAACACTGCTACAGCAATAGGCTAGTTGCTGTATTGCTTACTCATGCTCTTAAGTGAGGCTTGAAAAAGTTCTATCTTTCATTAAAGCTGCACAATATATTGCAAAGTGATCGTTACCACAAAGAAGGCAACGTTGATGTTGCAAATATGTAGGAAGCTTGATGGACAGTGGTGATGAACCAGGACATTTAAGGAGATTTATTAACATTTATGGACATTGGTCATCCCGCCCCCTATGGATCAACTGCTCCTACGTGATTGTTATTATTGCATTTCCTGTGTTTTAACGGGTGATTCTCTGATCTGTGTTGGCAAATCGACAATTTTGTAAAGCCCTTCGAGACGGCCGCTGTTGTGATTAAGGGATATACAAAAATAAATGGAATTGAATGTGCAATCATTTTATGTTTAAATCCTGTGTTTTTTCATGCATAAACCTTTGTTACTCGAACCCACAGAACAAACACTCAACTTGGAAAAGCAGCAACAATTTATAATCACTCCAGCACCAACCTTCTTATTGATTTCTTTGGCGGTAAAGAATATTCAAATATACATTTTTAACACAGTTCTTGACTCCACACTCACATATCGTAAAATTTGCAATATCATCACAATCAAAATAAGCAGCCCTAATTTTGATAGTGGCTTCAAGTATGGCAATAACTAATTTTAACAAGGTGGAGTTTTGATAAACTCTTTCCTCTTCAGAAGCATGAGTCCAGACAACAAGGAAGGAAATTGCCCTCTTCATGACTGTGTAAACTGAAGATTAAACGTCTTTATTGACTGCAAACTGTAGAGATGTTGTTCACTGTCTTGAAAGCATTTACAGGAAGCAAGAT